TGTGCCACTGCAAACTACCTCTACAAACTGCGTACCTTTCTCATGCTAAAACAATTACATAAAAAGTTTCTAGTGTAGGCAAGCACTAACAGACATGTGCCTGCACATACTCATGTATATGTTAAATATCTGATTTATATTCACTTATCTGAAATTTTATATAAGGGATTAATATTCCTAGTGCCCAGCTCAATATACCTTAAAAAAAAGCTGAATTTTTATCTTCAGAGGGCAAAGCCTTAGGGGAGAGGCTTTTCTTAAGTGCATCAGTTAGGGATTAAATTTCAGAGTTCCTTTTAAAAATCGGATTTGCAAAAGCACAAGAACTGCAGTACCCAACCACATTACCTATTCCTGTTCTTCAGAAATCCCAACACAGCCAGCTTGGTATTCGTGTTTCAGAGATAAGAACAGATGCAATGCAGTAAAGCCAGTCATTTGCAGAGCTTCCCAACGTATAAAAAAGAGGGGGAAAGATATAACACCACATCCTCAGATCCTGACATTCCAGGAATAATTTCCTAGCTAGAGCTAGGAAAGCCTCACACTGTGAGGAATATTTTGAGGAAACCTATTGTGGGTGGAAGACCCACCCTCTGCTATAATAAGGTTCTGCTGACATACAAAGTATATGTCCTTTGGTGAAAAAACAGCCCCGGTGGTTTGGTAAAAAAATAACGCTGCATGTATGATCATGACAGGATGTATTTTGTCTTTTTTCTTTTTCTTTTCCTCTCTCTTTTTAAAAGCTCTCATGCCACGCACAGTCTCTCCTCAAAATCACACAAACATATTCTAAAGCCATTTCCACTCTGCACCCTTTCTGGGAAAGTCACCTAAGTAAATATCGCAATTGCAACAATCGACACACAAGGCTCAGTGCTCTCTAAACAAAGAGATCTGCCAACTGGCAGTGCATGAATAAACAAGTTTTTTCCTTCCCTCTTGTTTGTGAGATTTCAGATAACAAATGTGTTTCTTCTACTAGCATTGCTCAACAATGACGGAATTTACTGCCTCTTTCTGCCACTAAGCCTCCATGCCCACTTTCTTCTTCTTTTTGCCTCCGTTTCAGTCCAACTCAATGTCCAATGTAAACCAGGTTAGAGAGCAAGAGAATACAAGGTGTACCAGCAAATGAGTTAAATAAAGCAGGAGCAGAGTGTTTCCACTGCACAGCCGCATGCCCTCAGATGGAGATGCCCCCACACAAAACATACAAAAATAGATACCTAAAATCAAATATGACAACCCCCCCCACCCGCCATCACCTCCATTTTGCAATCCCAGTAAAAACACCGCGCCCTCCCTGCCTTCACCCCGGACACCCCGGGCTTCTTGCGGCTGCTTCCCACGCCCAGACCGCCGCTTCCCGGCGGGCACACACCGAGCCCGGAGCGCCGGCAGCCCCGTGCCCTCCCCGCAGCCAGGTGATGCTGCAGCAGCGGCGGCGGCGCCGAGCGCCTCCTGCCGCAGCCCCGTGGCCGCCCCGGGCACCCCGCCCCGGGCCGGGGACGCGCGTCCCGCCCCGGGGAAGGCGGCGGGGGCTCCGCCAGGCATGGGCTCGGTAGCGGCACCGGCAGAAGCCCCACGGCGGGGCTAAGCCGTCCCTCCCCGGCACTCACCGCCGCCAGCCCCGCCGCTGCCGCCGCGGCGCCGAGGAAGTCCCGGCCCCGCCGCCGCCGCCGGGAGTGACGCGCGGCGCGGCCAATGCGCAGGGCGGGCCCGGCCCCGGCGGGCGCGGGGAGGGCCGGGAATCTCCTTTCCCCGCGGGCAGGGCACGCCGTGGGCTCTGGGGGGGCCTGGCCTTCCCGGCAGCGCGGGAATGCCGCGGGAGCCGGGCCCCGGGCGGAGCGCTGGGGACAGCCGGGCCCCACCCGCTGGGCTGCGGGGCCACAGCCTGGCGGATCAGTAACCGCGCTAAACACGGCAGAAACCGAGGGGCGAAGTTAAGCGCATTCCAGAATTTAAGCTGTTCTAAATGAAGGTCTCAAGGGAAAGGCAGCTTTCCAGTGTTTGAAAACGCGTTAAGCACGAAATGTCATTTACTACTAATAATAGTTTCTTTCCGCTAATCTGTTTCTTCTTCATTTTATGTGGCCGCTGATCACCTGTGTGAAAAACGAGGTTCACATATTTTTTATAGAATTTGAAAGTTTAATAGAAAGACAATCAGGAGATAAAAATAAAGTGTACAGGTACGGCCGGGTGTCTCTGCATTGAGCCAAGAGAGCACACCTTACTAACAAAGGATTGTCCCTTAAAAACAGAACCCTACTACATATCCATAAATTCTCATACATATTCATACATTCTTCTTAAGGATTTTTTTTATGTTCCTTTGTTTAGTTTTTACCTTGCCCCCATCCCAATAGATCAATATTTTTGGCGCCATCGGGTTTTATATCCTCCGATGAGGATGCAATAAATACTTCTCTTGGAGGTCTTGGAGGACAAGATAATCTTAAAAATGGTGGGGGCGGGGGGGGGGGGGTCTGTGACTATCTTTTCAGTCACTGGGTTATATAAACAAAAAGTAGTTTGTGCTTTAATATCACGTTATAGCCTAACATATATATGCATTATACCACTATTTCTAAGTTTCATCAATAACAGAAATAAAAGAAACTATATTATTACATCAAAGTTTTCTAACCTTATACATATAACATTCAATATATATCTGCAAAATCCAATAATATAATATGCACCTATAACACCTGGCAGGGTCATTTGTTTAGGAACTTAAATTTTATACAAAGTTCCAACCTCAAAAAAAGGTTTGTTGTCAAAGTCTCGTTGAGAGAGGGAAAAAAAAAAAAAAAAAAAAAAAAGAAAAGAGGCCAATGAGCAAGCAATTATGTAACTCCCAAGTACTGATTTTCTGGTTTTAGTGCCATCTATTAGAAAAAGACTGTGCTCCACAAGAGCGAAGCACAAGCTGGATCCCATTCAGACCAACAAAACGACAGTCAATATTTGAAGCAAACCTCAGGCATGTGTTTGCAAGGGCTCAGGATGGGGGGAAGAAGTCCCTAAGGTAAGTCTAGTGCCCACAAGTATCTGTGGCCCTTATGCTACATCTCTGGCAATTCACAGTGTTTGTGCATTTAGTAGAAAATGTGTGATGGATCAGGTAAAAAAAGTCACCTGTATTTGCATGCATTGTGCATGTTTAGAATAAAGAGCTACTTCAGTGTAAAATTACACCTGTGATGTAACATCTCTGGTTTAACCAGTGTTACAAGCAGCTTCCAGAATAACTGACAGCATAGATAGAGGAGATTAGATAGATAGGTAGATAGGTAGATAGGTAGATAGATAGATAGATAGATAGATAGATAGATAGATAGATAGATAGATAGATAGAAGAAAAATAGAGGAAAACATACTTTTCTGTGTTTGTTTTTGTTTATGGGTTTTTTTTTTTTTGTCATCTGGAGACCTTTGCAAAATAGAATGTTTCCCTTTACACTTGGTTTCCTCTGTTTCTGATTGCACAGTCGAGGAGGGGAAGGTACACACACACAAAGAAACAAACAAACAAAAAAAACCCAAACAACAAAACCCACCAAAAAACCAACCAACCAAACAAACAAAAAGAAAATGATAGAGCAAAGCCTGGAATTTGTGTGAGGGAGCCAGGAGTCTCTTCTTGAAACCAATTTTTAACTGGTTGCATTTCAGCTTCCAGGAGAACTTTCAAGGCTGCTCTTGCACTTGTCTGCAGGTGATGCTCAGCTCAGATGAGTGACCTAAAAAACTTCCTGCTGCAGGTTCACTATACTTTTCCTGCCTGTGTGAAGCCTTTTGAACTCACAGCTGAATGTGATCCTCACCCATGTTATATTCTCCTGCATGTTTTATAACAGGCACTGCATGAGAAAATGTAGAAACAACCCAGTGTCCAAATTAATTTCAGAAAATCAGAGAGGAGTGCACTACTCTGAAAATCTTTATGTAATACACACACACACACACACACACACACATATATATATATATATATATATATATATATATATATATGTATATATATATAAGCAGGGATTATTTGAGGACAAATTAAAAATAGCCTTGAAAGTGACTCTGGGCTTTAATCTCCCATGTGATGTTACATCATACATGATGAGAAGGAAATACCTCCAGGCCCTAAATAAACCTATTATCATTTAATCTCGAATGGGTTATTTTGAATTCCAAAGAAAATACATCTTTTGTGCACTTGCACAGCACAGAAGATCACTCTGGATCTCCAAGTCCTTCCAGAGGCTTAGAAAACCATAAAAAGGGAAAGAACAGCCAGGAGTAGGCTGCTGAAGAACAGCAGGCTAAGCTGCCGAAACAGAAATCTGTGGTGGTGGGACAGCATCAGCTGGACATGAGATGTGGGCAACAATTTGGGTTTCTGCCAGATTCCTTTTCCCACAAAAATATACCAGAGTGGTGGTGCCTTTCTCAGAGGATGTAAGCATCCCTGCAATGTCCTGTTTGTTCCAGGGGAGTGAGGGGGACAGGGGTTAGGTCTGAGCAGGCCACGTCCCCTCGCTCCCTCTGCTGGGAGCTGCCATCCTCGGAAGTCAGATTTCCCTTCTTCCCGTCAACATTCCCGTGCCATCTGCTTTCCTGTACTGCCCTGGTGCTTGTGGTGAGTGCTTGAATTTTTTATTTTTTTTTAACTAATTACTATACTGAAACTTAAAAGGAAGCTTTTCTCTTTCTTTCTTTTTTTCTTTTATTTTGGTTTGCTTTTTTTAAGTAGGTAACAATGTCATCCTGCATCACACAGGAAAGAGTGACTTGTTCAGCATATACAATGTACCTCTTTGAAACACACATCAGCCTTTGACTCCACTTGTGAACAGCCCCCCCCGCCCCTTCCAAGGAGGACAGAGAACACAGACACACTGCCTGCTACGCTTATCTATGTAGACAGACACATGAGGAAGGAAGAACACAGCTACAGGGGTGAAAATTTAATCCATCATCATTTAATTTAAGACAGTGGAAGGATTCTTTACATATGGATGTCACCTAACAGATTTAACCAAAGAGAAGACTGCTGAAAAATGACTGTTGTTTCTCTCCCCCTCTCCACATAGCAAAATACACAGAAAACACAAAAATACACAGAATCCTGCCTGACACTGTTAATATCCTGCCAGTGCTCTGCACTGTTTTGACAATGAGATTCCAGAAGCCCTGCCAGCCTCATGTCCACAGGTCTCTGTAGACAGTGCTGTTCTGCAAGCCTAAGATTTTACTATTTAATTGTGAAACATCTCCTTAGAAGGTAGAAAGAAACATGAAAAATATCAGTTATCACACTAAACAACAAAGAGAATATTATTATAATTCATTAATACGGCTTTTGAAAAAGTCTAGGAATGATCAAATACTCCTCAGAATTTCTCTCAAATAAATCACAGACCATGTCCAGGTGAGCACAGACTGCTCCTTAAATTCAGTCTCATTAAATGTGTTAGTTGCTCCCCAAGGGAAACCTTAAGTAACATAGATGAAAACCTTACCCCAGCTTTGCCTTGCAAGGGTGACTGCTTAACACATCCTGGTTGTGTGCCTGATAATGCATAAATGCACAAATCACAGAATCCCTGCTGCTGGGAGCTCACTGTCCTAACAAAACCAGACTGTGTAAATATGTTTGGTTATCACCTTGCTTCTCTGAAGTGTGCCAAACAGGATTCTTCTTTCCTAACTTTACAATCTAACTATGAGGTATCTGCTTAATTTAATAAATCTGGTAAAAGCTTAATTTTATAAGCAATATAAAATCTCTGCAAATACACACTCAGGTATTTATGAAGTGCAGTAAAAATAAGGCAGGGTAGAAAACAGTAAACTGGAGTTATTAAGAGAAAACATGACAAGTGAACAAAGGCTCCTTTTCTTATTTTTGCTTTAAAGTGCTTCTAACCCAGAGTTAAGCAAGGCCAAAACCTTCATTATGCTCTATGGCAAAAAGCAATTTTGCTTTGAGTATTTTTTTACTGCTGTATCTAGGGAGGAACAAAATGAGGGAGCAAATACTGGCAGAGGGAGAGACCTCATCTGGATTTTCTACTTGAGGATCTTCAATCCAAAATCTAAAACATTCCAGTCCATAGCCAGCGATTCGATCAGATCCTGACAAAAAAGCTGAAGGATTGAAAAAAAAAAGAAAAACAAGAACAAGTTAGCAAAATAAAACACAAATTAAAATAATAATGTTAATGAAAATCATGAAGGGAAATAAGTGTCAACATATGGTTATTTTCCTAAGCTAAGTATTATGTTTTGTTGAATTTACACCTGAATACAGATGAAAGTCTCTCACCAATTTATAGTAATTACAAGCCTTCTTCTACTTTGTATTATAGACTTTGTGGATGAGAAAGGCCAGGCTAGGTCTGACCTTCTACCTTTAAAAAGGATGACCTAGCTTCTGCAACCCTTTGAGAAAGGTAAACTGCTTACATCAACACAGTGTACTCACACAAACTGCGGCCTCTGACCAACAACACAACCACAAAAGTAAGGGATAAAGTAACTGCAAGCTTCAGGTGGTCTGATGCACTCAGGCAAACCTCAAAGGATGTGAGGAGGGTCAGAGCTGTCCCTGTGCAACTCCTTATGTTACTTTTTTGTGATTTTCCCTAGAAAATGTGGCAGCAGCAGGGGCGAACATGTTGAAAGGCTACAGTTTGGAACTATATTATAGTAGTTTTTATGTACAACCATCTAGAATATGTCTTGTGGGGGAAAGAAAAGGGCTATGCAAAGTTTAAAATGCCTGATTTATTACCAAGGAACATTTTCTTTTTTTCTTCTGGTAGCTTGTGAAACACAGTCCAAAACTTCCTGATAGTTTGATCTGACTTCTTGTACCGTCTGTACATTGCATTCTTCCAAAGAGACAAAAATAAAACAGGCCAGTTAATCCTCAATATTTCCATTTATATTTAAAGCAACATTTTATCTGATAAATTTTATAATCCTGCTCATAGATATTCAAATCCCTTTAACCTCTGGAATCTGCTTGTTCATTTGTTTTTCAAGGATTCATATGACAATCCCTGAGTTACGGCTTGATACTTATTCCCCTTTATTCTTGTAGCTGACGTAGATAAGATTAGAACATCGACATAAATCAAAAAGAGAAAGTTCCTTGAGCTTCTGTCCATCTGTTATGCACTCAATGAAGGAATGGGTCAGGAGTAGTTTATGCATAGCAGATAGAGCAGAAGGACACTGTGCTTGTATACAATACCTTTTCCAGCAGATGCCAGTCAAATGTTGTGTGTCCCTGGAGAAGAACCTGCAGCTCTTCAGGGAAAAACACCTTCCAATTTCTAGCTGGGCAGCCTCTTAAGAACCCTTGCATAAAGTCCTCAAATGGCTTCTGTACTGATTTATTGAATATATAATTCACATACAAATCAATATATTCTTTCCTGCAACAGATACCAAACAAGAATTGGTGGTGCTTTTCTAAAAGGAGAATTATGGAGAACTTTATACTTTATTCCATATGAACTGCTGTGTTGTACAGACTCATTCTTCACTGAGACCAGTCACTGGCAATTAGTTATTCACTGAATAAGCTGGGAGCATCTTCAAAAATGAAAGAGAATGCTGGCCAGAATGGATTCATTTTGGTAACACTCCTTGTACTTCATGTGAATGCTCCAATGAAATCCTATGAGACACCTGATTATTATAAAAGATGGAACCTAGCAGACCGAACTCCTATTGAATGCCCAAGAATTTCCCTGAAATCAAAATAAATATTTGCACAGCTGCTAATCAATAGTTTCACTCTTCTCTCTACTTCAGATAGGGAATTTGTGCAGTGACAATGTACTTGTACAATCAATGTAAATGCTGTACTTCAAGCTTCTTAAATAGCCCTTTCATGGATCCCTATGGGTCCTCATGTCATCTGCATAATTCAGGATACAAAATTTCTCTCCTCTGTGCCAAGATTAATATTGACACAAAACCTTATTGATAGATTGGTCCTTCTCCTTTATGTACAAGATACATTCTATACAGGTAATTACACAGGGAACATTTTGCTCTAACAATAACCCTTAGAGGTGTACCTATAGCTGGGTTTCCCAGACAAATCTTCTGTATTTGCCTGAAAATACTGTTCAAGGTTATTTTTAACATTTGTTAGGAATTTTCCTGTTAATGCCAGGTATCTGTATATGCAGATACCAGGATATGTAAGGATCCCCATGTCATCCACTGCTTGCACAAACTGCCAGTGTTTGGCACATGTGCAGCAAGTACAGCAGGAACTGAAAGTGTGCAACCTATTGGACCAAGACCAATGGCACTGTACAGAAGTCAGTATTTTCTAACAGTATATGGGGATGGGTATAGACATGTTATTTCACACATTTGTAACAAAACAACCGGATCGAGAAATATAAAAATAAAACTGACCTGTTATCCTTAGTGACAGGAATGTTGGCACCATTTTCTTTAAGTTCAACAACATCCGTGGAATCTCCTCCTTCCATTATCTATGCAAATAAATTAAAACATTGGCTGCTATATCTATATGTGACAGATATATATGTGCTACATCTCTCACTCTTCCTGAAGGGCCTGACATGGCACTCTCACTAGTTTGAGTTTACAGACAAGTTGTGTCATTTGCACTGGAACACCGTCTTGCCCGAGTACCTGTGTGGGATGTCTTACCGTGAAGTCCAAGTCCAAGCTATCACTTTCTTCATTCAAAATTCTCCAAAGACTCCTGTCCAAACACAAAAGGGATTAAAGAGAGAAGAAACGTGACCATTCAGTGCACTTTCAAATTCTGCTAAAAAACATCCTTTGAAAAGCAGTATTTAAATACATGTACACAACACCTACACTCACACAGAACCATGATATATGGCCCTGAAATTTCATCATGCTGCTGACATAAGCTGAGAACAGATGCCTCCAGTAAAAAAAGTTTCCAGGCAAGTCCATCCCCATGCCCTGTGTGGACAACTTTACACACAGTGACAACTGGGCTTGGGACCACAGCCCCGCTTCCAGACATCATCTAGTGAGGAGTTAAGTGTGGAACAGTGGGATGATATGGGAGAGTTGTTTTGGGGTGCAGCACCTCTCCAAGTATTGCAGGCAATCTTGTGTTCCAACTCACTGAGGAACATCAGTGAATTTAGCACCTCAATACAGTCACTGGCGCATGGGATGGGTTTGTCTTCTTCTTGGTTGTTTATATCACTTGCCTGGAAGAGTGGCCTTTAGGGGTCTAGAAGCATTATGTTGGTGGCAGCAGCACCTATCCCTCTATGTCTGCCTGATATTGCCTCTCCCAGTGTATGGAAACTCTGCACAAGGGTCCTTAGAATTGGCACAACTGCAGCATTTCATAATACTGTGCAAGGCAATATTGCGAAAATTGATAATTAGTAGACCAGAAGTAACCCCCAACATTAATAATTGGGTCATTAGTTCTTTCAAGTTCAAACTACAGCCCAAAGTGTTTTGAACTAAATATTCACAGTGTGGATTTAAGCTCTTGTGGAGCAGAGATCTGACATCTTCTAAGCCATGAGGCTTGGCTTTTTGTTTTGGCATTGCCAGCCTCTGAGAGCAACATCCATGCCCTAGACAAGGACCTCCTTGAAAATCTGTGGCTCCTAGCAGCTTCACAACGGCAAACATTGATGCCACGGGTGCCCCAAATTCAGCCTCTGGGACCTCCCTGTGCATGGTCAAGGCAAGAGACCCAGCTGAAGCTTGGGCCATGCCTAGCTCATACCGGCCCACGGTTGGCAGCAGATCCTCAAGGTCCTCCAGGGTGGGGGCCAGGTCCAGTAGCTTTTTGTAGAGTGCCCTGGGGAAGGGGAAGGGCACCATGCACTTGTTAAACAGGGCGATTCCACACAGTGTCCCAATCAAGAGGAAAGTGTCCTCATCCTCACAGCTTGAGGCCTGGTTAGGAACAAACACACCAGAAAGCCGTGACTGCTTTTTCCCATGGCTGAGGCCCCCATCCGCCCCTGCAGGGCTGCCTTACCTGTTTGGGGAACCACACGAGGCCGGAGGGGAAGTGACAGAAGGTGCTGGCACTGGGCTGGCAGAGGGTCCTGACTGCAATGCTGAAGAGCTCCTGGGACACCCCACCTCTGTCCTCTCCCATCTCACCCACAAAAGTCACCTGCAAGGCCCGAGACACCAGTAGACAGAGACACCCATGCTGCCCACAAAATCAAATTCCTTACCTGGTGTGCAACAAGCCAATAATTAAACACCCGAGAGAGAGACACTGATTATTTATTTCATGGTTGTGCCAGCCTGGGTACTCAGTGGTACTCCACAAATCAAGTGCACCCCAGCAGGCTTTTTGAGCCATTATTCATACACAGAAATTCAGGGTTAGTAACTGTCCAGGTCTGTTTATGCTTGGTTAGTAATTTCCAAACAAGTTACATAACCCCAGCTAATTTCCACACACCCTCAGGGGAAGGGTCTTTACCTGGGCCGGGGTCTCTTTGCCTTGTGGGCGTGATTTTTAGTATTATAATGAACAGAGTTCAGCTACAGGATACGCGGACTCTGAGTATTTTGCCAAGTTAGCAATGTACATACAGACATAAATCAACATCTTAATTTATGGCAGCCTTAAAGCTTTTCGGTTCCCGGATGTCTGGAGAGGAAATGCTGGCTGTTGCCTGTTCCACTGACTAGGTCTCCTTTCTTCCTGATTAAGCTTGAAAACGTACACAGATCCCACACCGAAAACCTGATTTAAGTTAATATTGTTCTATTCCACATTCAGGAACATCCGCAGAGCCCCGCGGCCGCCCGAGGCGGGGCGGGCACAGCGCGGGGCGGGCTGAGGGCGGCGGAAGCGGCGGCCATGCTGCGCGGCCCGGCCCTGCTGCTGCTGCTGCGGCCGGCGGTCCCGGGCGGCTCCGCGCACGTCCGGCACTGCCACCGGCAGCAGGAGCAGGGCTCGGGCTCGGGCTCTGGCTCAAGCTCAAGCTCGGGCTCGGGCTCGGGCTCAAGCTCAAGCTCGGGCTTGGGTTCGGGCTCAGGTTCAGCGCGGCCGCAGCCACCGGAGCCATCGCTGCTGCGCTTCCTGGTGTGCCCGCTCTCCAAGCGGCCGCTGAGGTGAGGCTGGGGCGGGGGAGCGGCGCCCGAGCCCTGGGCAAGGCCAGGTTAGTCACTGCTCCTCACGTTTTCGCTTGGATGTTTCTAACCACCC